TATGGTATCTCCAAGCCTGAAATGGGGCACGTTCACACCCTCATCGGTTACCGTACTCCGGTACATGGGACGGATTTTGACCCTATCAGACTTTCGCGGTCATATTCGGATACCTCTTGGGTTTCTACAAGTACGTACTGATAGGTCTGACTAGAATTCTAGGTTACGTTTCTAAATACGTGCACGTAGCTGCGCATTTTATCAAAACAAAAAATAAGAAATAAGTTTATCAAAAACACCACAAACTCACAAAAAAAAAGAAACATGAAAAGGTGAGCAACTGTTTGATGCTCTCTTAAAGTGATTATGATATATCAGAGACGAGATCGTGCCAATCCAGAATTTAATCTTAGAGAAGTGTAACCTGCTCTTCGTTTAGGCTTCTTCAACAACATTTCAGCTGCTCTTGGTCCTTCGTATCTGTCAAGAGGTAAATCCAATACGAGACTGCTTGCATGAAGAGCAGTTCCCCAGCCTAGAGTAAAACCGCTGCCTCCATGTCCATAGTTGTGCACCACCTGAATATTTTCCTGTTCGAAATAAATACCCAAAAATTTCGGGTCAATCAATAGTTTAGCAAAGATGCACTCTCCTATCAGGATGCGCCATACATTCAACATCCGTTCACGGTTTCAATACCATTAGAACGTACATACGGCAGCCTTACCTTGAAGGCCTTTATACAATTTAGTTTACTTACTTTCCCCGAGTCTGTTACAACTTGAATGTTCCAAAATGGGTCGGAATTCCCGACAGGCCCGGATTGGGGATGGAATCTCAAAATTATGAAATGGAGGCGGGATGCATTGTAGCAACAAAGCTCCATGGTTTTCACAGAAGGTCCATCATTCGTTCCCATATGCAGAGCTATATGAATGCTTGAAGGGCCAACAAAGGGCTTTGCTATTCAAACCAGTATTCGAGTCGCGTCTAGCATGCAGAATCGGTGCTGAAGAGAACAGACGAGGTAGACTTTGATAAAAAAATCCCCTCCGATCGCGCCACAGCTTTGCTTTTAACTGAGATTCGCAGAGGTATTTGTAAGTGTGCTGCGGTTACACGGTTTTGTAGAGTCGGCTACTTTAATATATTTAGCCTTTACGGCGAAGCATTGGAGTGAAAAAGGTAAAGGGATTGGAATGAGACTAGTGCCAAACGCCAATAAACGCTTTCTATGTGCCAAGTATGAAGATGGGTGGTCTCCCATCACTCGGTTTTGTGGATGCGGTATGGGTCTTTACCCAACGCTTCATCCTCAGCACGTCTTCGAAAAAACCATCTGGAGCATTCGCGAATCTTATTTTGTTTGTCTTTTGCATTACCTTGTAAGTTTTGCCTGACGGAGTCGTTCTTGTTTCGGCTTCAACTCGTACCATTGCTCGAGCAGGACGGAGACCAACAAAATGATCAAGTATTTTTACATCCTTAAATAATGACATAAAAATGGAAGCTCGACTCAATGATTGAAACTTTTTGCGTACTTTGAAAGACGGTTGTAGTTGTAGATAGCGATCCCATAGATTTTCGATTTCCTCCTTTGTGATCTTCATACTGTCTTTGTGCTCCTCCTTCACCGTGCCAACGTAAACGCCACCGATTCTGAAGTTTAGTGGTTTTTTATATTCTGGTAGTGGAGGTTAAGCATGTACTGTAGAGAGGTGTTTTGGGGGCAGAAGATTACCGGGTTGCGAGATCGAGTTTCCCAGACTGGACCACCTACACTTTTGGTAACTCTCGATGGGCCTCACCTGGTTGGAATGAGCGAGTTAGCACAAAATATTCGATTGCCTCAAATACTCCAGACCAGAACTGAGCAGAGTCTCTTGAAAGATCGCTACAAGCTGAACTTCAGAGGGAGATAAGCATTCCGTTTGATCCTTGAGCACGGTAATGAAGATGCGCAGGCATCTCTCATCGTCAGAACCGTAGTTGGGCCAAAGGCTAACTTAGTGCTTTCATACAGTGAACTACGAGACCCGTTTGTAAATCAGCATCTCCAGCTCCCTGCCAAAAATTCAGCAAATCCGATAGCGGAAGGGGACAATTTGGAAGGAGCTCTGATACCAAAAAGTTCCGCCTTGTTTCACGGATCCCACCCATAACATAGGTCACTGTTTAGTGTCCATGAGCATACTAAGCAAGTTTAACGGAGTCATCACTACCTAATGCCCTACCGTAGCTAGTTGAAAGGCAGGCATTTACGCCTGGGAGTTCCCCCCAGAACACTCATCCTCCCACCAACTTTTTATCCACATTTCCCATTTATCGCGTAGAAGAAGAGTAAAGAGTAAAGAGCTCAGAACGGTCAACATTCGGTAATGTGTTCGATGTGAGAATTCCATATATAGCTAATACTCTAACGTAGAACTTTTAGGCTCCGTAGGAAGAAGGAACATACGTGGGTATAGTAAATGTGGTGGTATTTCGCATAAGGAAATGTTTTTGCCATGGAGCATCAACTTTCAGCAAAATTCCACGTGTCGGATAAAGATCGTAATCATCGCCAGCAAGTTGAGCTCCATTCATTCCAGCACAGTTGACAACTATGGGAAAACCATCGTCCGCCAGCTGTAGAAGAATGCCATTTTTCAATTTCAAATTCCAAAATGGGCAAAATACTGTTGGGATAACTTTCCAGTGAGGGCTCACCTCATCTAAACTTTCAATTTTTCGCTCGAAAAACTTAACACCACTGGCTAGTAGCTGTTTTTTCATCCAAGGACAGTACCGTGCTCCTTCTGATGTGAATGCCGTATAGTGGATGCCTGATGTCTTACTGAAAAATGAGTCACACCTTCTCATTGTAGCTTTACAAACGTTCTTCAGAGCCTGACAAATTAGGAATGAACGGAATAAAAGTTTGCAAAACACCTAATATGGCAACAAACGGAGCTTACTCTCCATCCTTCAGCACAAATTGTGATTTCAATTCTCGTTCATCTAGGAAATGGAAGTTGTAGACGATGTCAGCGTAAGCCCTTTCCTAAAAAGTAAAATATGATCCTATAATACGAGTTTATGAAGGTTAGGAACCAACCTGGTCACGTAGGAATTCTTTGTTCTCAGATAGAATATGACCAGAAAGTAGCTGGACACCGCTGAATCCACCCAATGTTCTCCACAGTTTGGCGAGATGCGTGAAGGTATCATTACCGTATAACCTGGGAGCCATGTCTGTTTGTTTGAAACTAGTCATGCTTTCATCTATTATCCTTTACAAGGTGTGCCACATTATATGACTATCTCGCGTGCAGTCGCGAAGCGGTCAGCTCATTATGTATGAGTGATGGCACTGTCATCGCCCCGCAACCGCACGCCCGTTCACCTGAAACCTGAGCGCCCGTTCACCGGAATCCTGAGCACCGAACTTGAAGCACTCAAGGGTAAATCGGGAAGAAATCCCCACACTATCGCAAGCTGCCCTACTCATCTCGTATCAAGAAGGGCTCTCACCGTTGAAGAGGCGTAGACTTGTCGATTCGGAATAATCCAGCAATTCCTTTGCTGAGAATTTTGTCAAATGGGCGATCGGAAAAGATTGTTATCTGGAATCAAGAACTTCTTCAGTAGAGTGTACTGGTACCGCATACCTACACTAGAGAGGGAGATCGATTCCCCTCTTTGTGCCACAGATCAATTATGGGCATAAAATCGAAAAGTTACAAGTCTTCCCAACCTCAGCTGTCGGGTCCATCTCCTTTATGGCCATTGCTGTAGACAATCCGATAACACCCTCTCCAATGATGGCGATATTGATCGGTTCTCGATCTTCATTGTGTGCACAAATACTCAAAGCTACTGCAAAGTGACACTATAAACCCAATAATGTAGTAAAAATCAGAAAGAACATAAGCGTAAGGGTTAAGGGGCGTGGTTTTCGAATCCAGATGGAGCTTAAAAGAATTCTCAACATGATGCACATGGCTGCATCCTGATTCAGGGCAGCTTTCATACTTTGCGATTGCTAAGGACGTGGTTTGGCAGTGAGGCATGGAAATTCACGAGTCGTTTCATTTCCCACCATTCCTACATGCTGTGAGAGATGAATCCGCCTACCAAACAGAATAGGATCATTTTTGATCAGATGGTTTCAAGAAAATAGCCTCTTTTATTGTCGCTTGTTTGCAGAAGGAAACGCTGCAGAAGCTGCTAAATGCTACCATGTACTCTACACCTAATTACGGAAGGGGCGAGCAATTATCGCAACAGTCGCAAAGTATGAAGGCTGTCTGACAGGAAATTCCACGAATCTCGCCCAAAAAAACCGATATAGTAAACAGTTCACAATTCGAATCTGAAAATATGTCTCAGCTCCATCGAAAAAAAAAAGAAAACCGTGATTTACTGTTGAACTCTACTGAAAGACGACATTTCTTCAATTTAAACTGATTTGAAAATAAACTTACCTGATAGGGTGAGAAGGAGAGCACAGCAAGCTATTTGAATACTGCTCATTCCTCTATAAAAATAACAAATCAAGGGAAACGAGAATTCTTCCCTTCCAAAAACAGCCGAATACATCTACACCTCCAAAGCGGTACAGACTATACTACAGTGCGTTTCATAATTATAAGGTCACCCCAGATTTTTGCGATTCCGGAGAAAGCAGCCAGAATGGAATTTTTTGGCAAACACTGGTAGATTCCTCGTCACAATGCACCTCCGTACTCAAATTTTGGTCGCAATATCTTCCATCTCAAATTTTTTACGAATTTTTTGAAGATAGTGTCGGCTTTTGCACCGTTTCATAATTATAAGGTCACCCTGAGGAAGTAAATGATTTATCAATGTTAATGGCATATGTACAACAGTTAATAATCTATAGCTCCTCCTTGTTTAAGAGCAACATCAAGAGCCTGCGTGGCATATTAGAAACTAGGTTTCGAAGATTTTCCTCATCGATTGCTCTCCATGCTCCGATAATCGCCCGCTTCAGCTCTTCTGTGCCCT